AAAAAAAAAAAAAGCAATTATGGTAATGTACAAAGATCAGAAAAGGCTGCTGAAGAAGGTACGCTTTTATGCAATGAAAATCTCTCTATTGTCAAAAGGGGTCTTAACGATTTCTCGCTTTGATAAATTGAAGACTTAAATTGGGATGGGCAGATACAAATGCGATGTAGCTGATTTGTTTCTCTTGTACAACGTGCGCCTTAAAAACTAGGGACGAAATAGGATTTTTTTTTTTTAATCGTTAAATGTAAATATATAGATCAAAACAGAGTTCAGACAACCCGGTGAACGGCGTACAAAAACGCGATAATATATACGAGGACAACTACATGTTGGTTGCTCACTCAAAAGTCACGAAAAACAAATATCATACAACGAGGCACCGCCTCTCAAACTCGGCAAGCAACATTAGGATAAAGAGTAAAGATAGTACGGTATACATGAGTTTTTACCTTCCAGATCACGTGGCTTGAGGATTGGTATTCAGATTCAAATATCAACTGATTTCTTGCATTCCAAATGAAGTACATGGTGGCCGCTAGCTGCGTTTTCTTCAACTTGGATCTCCAACCCGCCCCTCTCGCCTCCTTCTTGATCTATTTGAGGGCACCTTTAAGGGTCGATGGCCTATGGCGTAGGCTAACCCAAGCACGAACTTCACCCCAAGTCTCCGAGCTAAAAGAGCACTCAAAGAAGAGGTGGCTCGAAGATTCATTCGTAACACGGCATAGAGGGCAAATCAAGTCTTTGTCAAGAAATTCGAGTCAGTCTTTTGTCCGGAGTCTATTAGGCACTCCCAACCATAGGATGAATGAGTGCTTGGGGGTATTGCAAGCCCCCCAAACAACCCGGTCCATGGCCTCATGGGTCCTCTAGGTCTTAGGAAGTCGTAGCACTTACTAGACTCATCTTGTTTATCTCGAGAGCTCCAACCGCGAATAAGGCTTCCGCTCCTCGTTCACTTCCCGCTTTTTCAACCAAGCCTTGTCGGATTTCAAAGAAAGACTTGAAGAGAGGTGGGTCTTTCGTGCCAATTTGCCAATCCCAAATGGATCTACCCTTCAAATAAATGTTATGAATCCATTTGTACCAAAGGGTGTCCTTCTTGGCTTGCATATTCCAAAGCGTCCGAGTGAGTACCGCTTGGTTCTAAGCTTCCAAGTCCCGGAGTCCCAATCCACCTTCCGATCGTGGTAAGCACAAACCATCCCATGCCGCGGGAGCACTTTTCGAGCCCCATAAGAACCTCCTACAAAGTTGGATGATTTTGGTTCGCACAACACCGGGTAAATGGAAGATACCTATCCAAAAGCACTCAATGCCTTGGATTACCGAGCGGATAAGTTCCAATCTTCCGGCATAAGAGAGAGTTTGACCACCCCACCGACTAAGGTGGCTCTCAATTTGGTTGATCATATCATCAAAGAGTCGACCGGTGATTCGCTCTGCGGTGAGGGGAACACCTAGGTAACGGAAAGGCATTGGACCACAGTGTAAGTTAGTGTTGTCTAGAATGGTGACCCGATTGTTCTCTTTGACTCCGGCCAAGTACATGTTGGACTTTAGCACATTCATTTCGAGCCCCAACTTGGCCCCAAAATCCTTTAAGCAATTCATGAGTGTTTGAATCGACATCGAGTCACCACGAGAAAGGAGCATAAGGTAATAGGCGAAAGCTAGGTGCGAGATTTTTAGTTTCTCGCACATTGGATGGAAATTAAAATTAGAGCCTACCGCCGTGTTGCATTTGATGAGTCGAGAAAGGTACTCCATGCATAGCACAAAAAGGAAAGGTGAGAGAGGATCACCTTGCCTTAGACCGGGAGCTCCTTTGAAATGGCCCTTGAGACTTCCGTTAATAGATAGCGAGTAAGACGGAGTAGTAACACACTCCATGACCCACTTTGTGAAGACCAATGGAAAGTCCAAGCCCTCGAGCATTTGCCTAAAAAATGACCAAGAAACAGAGTCAAAAGCTTTGCGGAGGTCAATTTTGATTATGCACCTAGGGGAGACTCTTTACCTCAAGTAAAGCCGGAGCAATTGTTGCATGAGGTGTATGTTGTCCGTAATACACCTCCCTTTCACAAAAGCGACTTGAGCCTCATCAATGATACAGTCGAGGACTTCGCTAATTCTCCTTGGAAGGATTTTGGAGCAAATCTTGTATACCGTATTACAACACGCAATTGGCCGAAAGTCCATTACTCTCGAGGAGTGAGAGGACTTTGGGACAAGCGTGAGGGCGGTGTGGTTCTATTGCTTTAGGAGGGACCCGGAGCGGAAAAACTCTTGTATAGTCGCAACTACGTCATTGCCAACAATGGCCCAACTCTCCAAGAAGAAGGTAAAAGTGTAGCCATCCGGCCCAGGGACTTACCTCCCTCTATGTCTCTAAGGGTGGACTTGATTTCGACCTCGGTCACCGGGGGCAATAAGAAAACTACAATGCTCGGTGCTAACACACGGTCCCGCTCTGAGGATTTGGGGGTCCACGTCCTCCGTTTCTACTCCGGTTCCCAAGAGAGCCTCGTAGTAGCTAACGAATTCCTTGACAACATCCTCCGTGGATTCAGTCAAAGTGCCATCCTCCTGATTAATCGATGCAATGTATTTCCGTTTTGCTCTCTTCTTAACCAAGTCATGGTAGAATTTGGTGCATTTATGACCATTGATTTGAAAGTTGCATTTGGCCTTTTGTTGAAAAGAGTTTCTCCGCTTTAGCCAAATTGAGTGCTTGGAGTGTAAGAGAGGACATCTTAGACTTGATATCTACGGGTGATCGTGGAGCATTTGTTGCGCTTCTTCGAGTGCATTTTTGCCTTTTTTGGCTCGGCAAGAAATGTGGGAGTAAGCTTTCTCATTGAGAACCTTTAGCGAGCTCTTGAGGTTCTTTAATTTGGTGGTGCGGCGGAATTGTCTCGATCCCCTGCCACCTTGGCTCCAAGTGTCAAGAACCACTGTTCGAAAAGTCGGCCTAGGCGACCGCCTAAGCGGCGCCTAGGCGCTAGGCGGCGGTGCGCCGCCTACGATTTGCTAAAATCGGCCATAAAAATCGGCCAGGCGGGCTACTCAGGCCTAGGCGGAGCTAGGCGAAGCTAGGCGGCCTTGGCGGTCACGGCGGCTACGCGGTTTCGGCGGGGCTGGGCGGCTGAGGCGGGTTCTAGGCGGCTTTTACAGTTTGTTTTTTTTTTTTTTTTTTAACTAAATGCATATATTTTTTTATTTCTTATTTTGTTATTAATGTGTTTTATTATATTATTATTATTATATGTGTTAATTTAATTAGTTAATGATTAGTGAAATTTAGTGTTTAGTTGGTTTTTATAATTGTCTTATGTTGTGTAATGTTTAAAACATAACATGTAAGATAATGTGTTTGATAAAATTACAATGAGAAGAAATTATATTGTGGTGATGTACTTATTTTGACTTGGAGTTTGTTTTATAATGTAATATTAATAATATTATTGGGACTTACGTGTACGAATTTATTAATTATAAGTTATAATTTCATTAGTGAAATTGTAAAAATAAATAAAAATAATATATTTATTATAATTTCTAGGCCCCGCCTAGACCCCGCCTAGGCCCCGACTAGGCGCTAGGCGCTGGTCGGGCGCCTAGCGAGCGCCTAGCGAGCGCCTAGCGACTTCTAGAACACTGTCAAGAACACATGGCAAGAAATTCTCATGATTCGTCCACATGTTGAAGAAGCGCCAAGGTGACCCATGATTGGCTCCAGCTTCAAAGATCAGCACAATACAAGGCGAGTGATCGGATATACCCGGGGCGAGAAATGTGGCATGTGAGAAGAAATCGGCATTCTCCCAGAAAGGATCCACCATGGCCCTATCAAGCTTGGACCAAACATGGTTATTGGTCCAAGTGTGAAAGAAACCACTTGAGGGGATGTCCGATAGCCACAAGGTATCACAAGCTTCATAAAAATCCATAGTGTCCCAGTTAGTAACTCTCTCCTCTGTTATTCTCTCCTCCGGTTTGAGAATAACATTAAATTCCCTGAGAAGCAACCAAGGTAAAGAGATCCTCCCCCGAGAGGCCTTAAGCTTATTCCATAATAGTTTCTGGTCACCTCTCGAATGAAGTCCATAGACAAAGGTAGTAATAAAAGAGTAACCTTACAATGGATTTTCGTAAAGATGACTTGAGGCGAAGTGACCTCCACCTTGATGTCCACTCTCGCAGGGTTCCAAAGGACGGCAATACGCCCACGAGCAACAACGTCAAAATTATCACAAAAAACCCAACCCGGCAACCTCCTACTCATAAAGAGAGCAAGACGCCTATTTTCAGTTTTCGTTTCCAAAAGTCCCAAAACATCAATGTTATTTCTCCGGATGAGGTTTACCACCTCATCTTGTTTTAGGGGCCCGTTAAAACCCCTAATGTTCCATGAGGCGATGATCATTGAGAGGAGGAGGGGCGGCCCTCCTTCTTCATCGAATTTCCCTTGCCCACATCTTTCCTCCTGTTTGGTTTGT